ACACACACACACACACACACACACACACCACTTCACAGGACATTCAGGATTTTCACTCATTCATTCATTCACTCAAAAAACTTTAATATGAGCTTCCCTACCTACAAGCCTAATTCAACCAAAATGCACTGATTTGTGTTTACGTTGTGACAACTTGCTTTTCTTCCATCAGTGAAACGTTGAGTCCTCACAATGTGAAGACGTATTTATACTGACACAACATGACTGGCACAGATGCATAGCTGTGCACTTGTATTTACATGCATACAAAATGACACACCTACGATCACATAAAAGACACATGTAATTTCAATCCTACTCTCACATAATCACACACACTCTCGCACACGCACACACATGGATGGGCACAGAGTCGTATTTGTCAATGGCGCCTTTTGTTTCTTTTATCTGAGCTCGCAACAAAGCATTCCTGTGTACACAGAGGGGAGAGAGATAGAGAGAAGGAAGGAAGGAAGGCGAGAGAAAGAGGAAAGGAGAAGAAGAGAGAGGAAAAGAGAAAGAGGGAGATCAGGAAAACATCCACTGCTCTGTTTGTCAGACAAAAGTTTTGATTGAGTTCTTGGATTCGTCTCACTGAGGCTGCAGGTACAGTAAAGTTGTAGCGCTGCCATGGAGATGGAATACATCCTGCTGGAGAGGTTCGTTAATAGTTTCCCTCTCATTTACTCTATTAGTTATCTGATACATGGCTGTAGTGGAATTTGCGAGCGTATTCGTGTGTGCGCGGCTGACAGGGAGAGGGCTGGGTAAGAGGGTGATGCAGAGTTGAAAGAGTGAAGTTTTCAATTGATCCATTGTAAGTGCAAAGCCTTTGAATGGCTCACAAAAGTGTGATGTAATTAAAGCTGATCGGTTATGTAATCCACAATCAGCAAAGGAGCTATTTTTGATTTATGCTACGAGGCAAAAGTATATGGACACACCTGGTCTAGAGATGAGAATGAGGAAATAATATTTTCACATCTGTGCAAAAAAGTAAAAATTTTTTTGCAGTTTAGAATTTATCAAAAACCCTGACCTCAGCCCTATCTAATGCCTTTGGCATAGATGCTGGCTGCAGGCTGGACCGTGACAGTGTATAATAATTAAGTCCTTTACCGCACTTACATGCAATTTATTTGACATTGCAGACGAGTAAGAAAAGTGTTTCTAAACTCGTTTGCGTGCAAACTTCCTCAAAAGCATCTCTGGGCCTGTTGTCTTGTTGCAGATGTGAATTGTTACAAATTTCAGCAAAGCGATTTTTCATCTCTGAACTGTTTATATAAATTAATTTTATTTCGCTCAAATTTTTTAGGGGCAAAATCTGTTATTTAGAAAAAGGAGAGAAAGTAAGAGCTGTTTATTTTTCTCTCCTATACCTTTTACACATCTTTGTTTTTATTGTGAACATCCAAGTAGGGTCCAAACTCTAGGCTGAGAATCCAAGTAAATGATAATTTTCGTTTATGCTATGAAGATGACACATGTAAGTGCCTCTAAAGTGAAACATAGGAGACAGAAAAACAGTCTCCAGCACAGCAGCATTATGAAGGGTGAGAATCTTGAATGAGGTTTAAAGTTTTGCTTTCAGATTCTGTTTGGCACTCTTGCCATCAATTCCTTTTATGGAGAAAACCCCTCAAAACTTTGCCTTGTTGTTTGTGTGATGTGATGGTGATTACACCAGACCTCATTTGCAAGACAGCTGAAGCTTGCCCAACTTATGCTTGCACGAGTAATTTACATTGTCATTTTTGGAGGAAGCTAGTCTGTCAGAAATAAACAACTGCTTTAGAAAAACAGTGTAAATGCAGCTGAAAATAGTGTCAGTTTGACTAGCTGCAAGAATAAAATGCCGTTAAGCCACAAATTCACAGTGTTTTTAGTAATATGTCTGTCACACTGATCATTATATGCAGAATATAATAAACACAATTTTATTACAAAAGATTTCAGTTGCATTGCAGGACTTCTTCTTACTTATACATCTGAGTATTACTTCCACCACTAATATACGTTTGGAGCTCACCGATGCTTCTGTCATTGAGTGGGATCAAATCCCTGAAGCCAGGCTCCAAAATTTTATCAACAATCAGGAAGCTGAAATAAGATTCCCAGTAATCACAAATTATCATGTTAACAGGTGCCCACTTACTTTTTGGCCTGAGAGGACCATGAAGACCAGAGAGCTTTTATATCCTTTTACATGAAAAGTAGAATTTTACATTCTGCTTTAATGAGCGTGAGAAGTTCTCACAGAGTGATCTTCTGAGGATCCAGAGTGTAAAACATCCGAGAAAAGACTTCACAGGAGTCAAGTCTCAGGCTGAACAAGGCCAAAGCACACAGAAAGCTGAACTGGCCCTTTCCCTATCCATCTCTCACTGTCTCTTGCTGTCTCTGGTTTCCAGTCAGAAGTTCACTCTTTGTCCACTAAAGGTCTCCCTGATCAGAATCAACAGTAAGCTTTTTAAATAAACTTTATCTTGATAAACGTCTGAGTTTCCAACAAAGATTTTGACCTTAATTGACTCTTTCAAGTTTCTTCTCTGTCCTTTGGATCACAAATGAGTCTCTGTGTGGGTTGTCTGTTGCGTCAATGAATGCATCCTAATTACTGTCTTCTTTCTTTCTTTCTTTCTTTTCACCTTCCTCTTCCTTATCTCCCTGTTTTGTGGGCTATTCTCTCACTTGACCTCCATCATTTGTTGAACGTAAGTGAGCATGTCAAATTATGCAGGAGCTAGCTGTCTGACATGACCTGTATCTAAATATTCTTTCATCTACATATTCATGCAAACATACCAAAATGTAAAAACTGAAAAACTGAAAAACTTGCTATCAGATCACGGGGACATTTGAAATTCAATTTGTCTTTCTAAAGACAGAAATAGACAGGTCTTTTGTTTTAGATGAGGGTTAGTCCAAATATGGGACTAAACATTGATTAGCAGCTGTTTCTCTTCCTGTTTTTCACATCAAGTATACATCGCCCAAACCTGGTCTTAAGAAAGATCTAACCACACTAACAGATGTGTGAGCTTGTACTTCCTCTAATACCAAGTCTCTCCTCTCTTTAGCATTCACCATCATGTTAACTGACACAAAGTGGAGCTGAAAGCTGACAGTAATGGAGATGCTGTCAGTCTGAAGAAATGCATGCATTTCAAATAACATGCTAAAGGAGTTAGCATCTATGAGTCAGAAATATCTGTCAGAATGCTGTGTGACATTTTACTATTTGAGGACATACAGCGAGTGTTATTCTTGTCTGAAGCACGCTACATACTTGTCTGTGTAGTTTATCTTTCCATCACTGGTCACATATTTGTTAGTTTGCTTTTTTGGTTAGTAGTTTACAGCTAGTGAGTCACAGGCACGACATGGTGAGATAATGTATGACTTCCATGCGTAACTATACTTAGTCACTGAAATTTACTTTTTGAAACCACATTTTAATGACTCACTCTACCGTTTAACCACCATAAAAAGCACCAAGCAGCCCACCTTACCTGAAAAACATGTACAGACTATTCTAAAGAAATGATTTACACAAGAGGAGAGTTCTCTATCTTCTATGTGACACAACACATGAAGCTGAAACCCAATAAGTTTTGAAACATGAAGAAATGTTTGTTCTTCCTGTTTCAGGTTTTAGTTTCAAAGATCGCAATCAAAAGAAGAACAAAGCACCCCTTTTGGGTCACACAGTGACGGCATATGTCACTTCTTCATGACTATATTTCAGTAAATTTCCAAACACCAAGAATGCCTATTTACGGAAATAATGGGCAGGGTACAGACATTTAAAATGTGTTAGTGTTAACTTGCCCTCTAAGGGTTTCTTCTTTTATTTCTCACATTTTTTTAATGGTGTTATCTGTTTTATATTTTTAGGGTTTACACAATCTAACTCATCCATACTATAAGAACAGCCAGATGGCACTGGCCTTGCCTTCTCATAATCCTTGATTTCCTGCCTCTAAACTGTTGGCAGGGTGGCACTTCTCATTGCTGCTAAACTATTCATGCTTCAGAAAACTTTCCTTGAGCCATGATATTGGAAATGAAATATATGGTACATGTTAATATGTGTATTTATTTATTCTTCTGTCAGAACTGCTCACTGAATATGTGGTATCAACACAGTGAATTTTAGTAAATTCCTCAAACTATTATTACATTCAATCAGTTTCTGTTGGAGAGTGACTCATGACCAGAGAGGATTCCTGTCTGAGTGAACTCCCAGAAAAGTTTCACCAGCTAAAGAATTTCCCACAACAACATTTGTGGGTCTGCATGACCTTTCATCTTTGTTATTCTGTTATTAAAATTATTACCAGGCTGAAACAAACACATATTAGACATGTAGTTTAAATGTGTTAATGTGAGAGCAGATATCTGCAGGGAAGTTACTAACAGCTGCAGTTAGTTATAGTGGGAAGTGTGTAAAGTCTGTACACAGGAAGCCACTGTTATCAGATTGGCTCAGCTTAAATGTGACATAGATGTGTCGGATGTCACACTCAGCTTGCCTCTTTTCAGCTAGCAGGCTTACTGTTCTGAAGGAGCTCAAATCATGAGCTTTTTTTGAAATCCAACAAATTAACTTTGTGCCTACACCTAAAAAGAAAGTAAAAGCAAAGTAAAAAGCACAAAAGCACAAAATGCAAAGGTTTCCTGCAGCTTACACCACAGCTTATACCTGCAGACCCCTAACAAGGATTGTGCAGATCCTGTATATTTTAAAGCATAACATATTTTGCACTCCAGGATGAGAATGTGTACTTTGTGTTAGACAAATGACCAATAAAAACATTGTATTCCATTTTTTTCTATTTCCCAGATGACATCTGCCACACCTCCTTCCTCTCGTAGCTCCTCTCCACATAAAGTTTGCCACTCGCAGACACAGACAGATGTCTTAAAACCTTTACTTGGTGGTGGCATATCTAGTGGGGGAGGGTCTCTGAGGAAGAGGAGACGTGTCCTGTCCAAAGATGGGCGAAGCAACGTGCGCATCGAGCATGTCAGCGGACGGAGTGCTCTGTACATGCGTGACCTCTGGACAACATTTCTGGACATGCAGTGGCGCTACAAGTTCTTCCTGTTCACTGCCACTTTTGCAGGGACCTGGTTCGTGTTCGGGGTGCTGTGGTACCTGGTTGCACTGGTCCATGGAGACCTTCTTGGTGAGAAAGCAGGGAGAAATTTAAAAGAGCAAAGATCAGGTCATAGGTTCACACTGACACGCCTCCCCGGCCTTGAGTTTGGCACATGGAGTCATTCTAAGCGATCTACAAGCGGGTTTTCAGTTAAAAGTTTCAACTGACATTAACAATCATTCACTATTACACCTGAAAAGTGTTTTTCAGTTACATAATTAGTAACTGAATCATACAGAAAGTTTCCAGTTTTGACTTCAAGTCATCTGCACAAAAAGTACCTAATCTTCCTGCGCAGGTTTGTGGTTTATTATGGGTCGAATACAGGAAATGTCTGAAAAAATGTCAGTGCTGACTTTAAAACCCCAAATTATTTATACATTTGAGAAACACTAAAACCTGCAGGTCAGTGCAAAAATATCTAACTATTCAAGTGTTTCTAGTTGTCAACCACTGACAGTTTAATACTTAGACTTCCTGCTGACTTATTTTAAAAAGCGAAAAACCGTTGTGCTGTGTGTGTGAATTCAAACCCATTCAAACCGAATGCACACAGTCATTGCATAAACTGAAACAGGAGTGTTTGCTAAGAAGCTTCCCAGACTTCAGGTGTTCATTGCGCTTTATGCATCATGACTTCTTGCAAAACCTCAGTCATGTCTGTTTAGGACATTCAACCTCAATGTATGTGCAACTGAGCAATGCAAGAAGAAGTGTGAAACAGATCTCATTGCCTTCTTCACACCAAAACAAAGAGACTACAGACAAGTGTGAAAACAACCATAATAGTGAATATAACCTTGACTAAAGCAGTGACTATAAGGGAAAGTGGAGCCAACAAGATCTCCTGTTCAAACTAAATGAAATCAAATTTATTTCTATAGCACATTTTAAAAGACCGGAGTACATCAAACTGTTTCACAATTGTACCGCAGTGCAGATAAAATTAGGGGCAGAGCATGACAGGTAAAACAAGGTACGAACAATACAATTACATAGTGCAATGCAGCGGGTCAAAGTCAAACTAATTTGCTTCAAAAGCCAAGTTAAACAACTGGGTTTTTTTGGCGAACAATTGAATGGACTCAGCTGTGCGGACATCGACTGGGAGATTGTTCCAGAGTCTAGGGTCGGCAATAGCAAAGGCAGGGTCACCTCTGGTCTTTAATCAAGACCTTGGTTGCACTAATAACAGTTGGCTAGACGATCATAGTACTGTCTTAGGGTTATACAAGTCGAAGACACCAGTTAGGTAGCTAGGCGCCAGGTTATTTAGAGTTTTAAGAGTAAGCAAAAGTATTTTAAAATCAATACGGTATTTAACGGGGAGCCAGTGTAAGTTAGCTAGGACAGGGGTGATGTCATCATGCCTTCTCCTGTCTTAAAGCTGCCAGTGCTATTCAGTTTAATTGCTCTATATTTTGTTATTTGTTCAAATTTAAATGTAATCATGCATTTAATAATGCATTTCCTTAAAGATATGGGATCATTTAAGAGGCTTTCCAACAGATCTATTGCCAAGAAGCATTGTTAAATAAAAACAAACAAACAACTAACTAATTTCCTTACTTTTTGTGCTAACCAGGATGCATATGCAGTGAGGGTGAATGTTATAGGAGGCTTGTAAAGAGATGCAGAGGCTGTTGTTTCTTTCTTTCTTTTTTTTTTTTTACTGAACTTATCTTGCGGTTAAAGTGAAGTTTTAGCTATAATCTGGCAACTATATCATATCTTTATTCTATCTTAGTTTTCGTTAACACATGCCTCTCCCCCTCTTCCGCTGTTGTTACTCGTGTCTCAGCAGACAGTGTGTTTAATAGCAAAATCCCTTTTTTAGCCAGACTTTAAATATTCTGGTCTGTTGTTCCATAATAATGTGTATAAAACTAAAAAGCAAATAATAACAAAAGTGTTTACTTTTATATTTTAGAATTACTTAAAAGAGCTTTTGATGCTTTTTTAAACATGTTCCTCCAGAGTTTGACCCTCCATCAAACCACACGCCCTGTGTGATGCAGATGCAGACGCTAACGGGGGCTTTCCTCTTCTCCCTGGAGTCCCAAACAACCATTGGATATGGTTTTCGCTGCATCACTGAGGAATGTCCAGCTGCCATAATCCTTCTCATAGTTCAACTGGTTATCACCATGCTCATGGAAATCTTCATCACCGGTACCTTTCTGGCCAAGGTAGCCAATACATGAAATATCCATGTAAGATGCAATGAAAAGAGACAAGTGCCTTGTATCAACAAAGCCGTGCAGGCCTTAATTTGTGTTTTGAAAACATAAAAAAAAAAAAAAAAGCAGAAGTTGTCTTGACTAAAACAACACTGCAGTGTACATGTGAGCTGCAGGTTTACTTAATAATCATTAACAAAGATGACTCTGACCAAGTTCCTCCTGATCAGGTTGCCCGGCCAAAGAAGCGCGGTGAGACAGTGAAGTTTAGCCAACATGCTGTGGTGTCCGCCCACGAGGGCCGCCCCTGCCTCATGATCCGGGTGGCCAACATGCGCAAAAGTCTCCTGATTGGGTGTCAGGCAAGTATGCATGCAGATACTTTAAGTATACAGTAGCTGGGAAAAGTTCCACTTGTTACGGCCGGTCTAGCGGACCCGACCGCAACAAGAGGAATGATCCACCCCCAGTTCGACCCCAAGCAGCACATCACACCATAAGTTAAAATAAGAGATGGTTTATTTACAAGAACAAAACAAAAATGGGTTTCACAGGAGACACTCAGGCTTCGGGGTGGACCCATGCCAAAATAGCAAACAAAAGGAAACTAACTCAGAGGAGCGACTGCTTGCCTAGCCCCAAAGAAACATGACCAAACGACAATCACTTACTTCCCTGACTAACAAAACATGCGAAAACTGTGCCCAACTGCAAAGGCGGTCCCACCCCTACTTCCTGCTGGATTCACAAAACAACACAGGGCATGTCGCAACCCCAGCTGGTTGAGGGTAAAACCGAGGATGGATGGATTGCCATCCTCAACCGCGTCGTCTTATACCCCGCCTCCAGATCATCATCCAATCCAGGCACACCATCTTCAGGATCCACCACTCCTGGAGGCACACCTGCGAACTCACATTTACATGTCAGAACCCCAGCCCACGACAACAGCCGTAACACACTCCATACTTGTAAAGACTAGACAATAAAAATAGGTTTAGAGGTCATAGATTAGTGTGAATGAGAAATTTGTCAAACTGGGAACCAGTTGAGCTAAAGCAACATGTGCACAATATTCCTATCAGGTGACTGGAAAACTGCTCCAGACGTCTCTGACCAAGGAAGGGGAGACGGTTCGTCTGGATCAGAGAAATGTCCCCTTTCAAGTGGACACTTCCAGTGACAGCCCCTTCCTCATCCTGCCCCTTACCTTCTACCATGTCATCGATGACAACAGTCCCTTGAGAGCTTGGGCAGCCAAGGGTAAGTTTAGCGATGAGAGCAGTAGACTCGGTGGGTGGTGTCACAAACTGCATCAGAATGATTTCTTTGACCTTTGTGTCTCATTCCTCTGTCATACAAACATCTGACCCTGAAGGTTTCTAGCATAATTTTACCTCCTTCCAAGGTGCTGGTAGGAAAAGGCAAATTCTTTCAGCAACAGATGTGTTATAGAGAAAAACATCATCCCTCATTCCTCCCTTTCTGGTGTATGTGGAGAATTTAACAATAGGCCTGCTTTCCACAAATTGTAGTTAGTTAATAAGCCTAGTAATGAACTGTTAAAAATAGCTTCAGTTTCTGAGAAATGTCATGACTAGGTTTACAAAAATTGAATTCATGCAGAAATAAATTTCCTCTTTTTGGTTGTGAAGTCAAAAGATTAAAAAAAGACTTTAAAAAATGAAGCCACTAGCTTAATGTTTTACATGTTGCTTGATGCTGTATTTGTTAATGTAGTAACTATGTCACATTCTTCAGGGGTCTCACACTCATTTTAGTTCATGAGCCACATTATAGTTATTTATTGATCACCTATTAAATAGAGCCTAAATAAACCCAGCTTTTTAAAAACAGATGATCATTTGGAGAATTTTAACAGTACTTCCAGCAGAGACAGTTTTCTTAGTTTTGTTTCACTGAAAACGCAACAAAACTGTCTCAGTTCTTCACCTGAAAAAAAGAAATGTGAAATGAAACAACATGGTCTCTGATTCCCAACCAGACCATGGGTGATGTCCTTCCAGTAATTAAATGGCTGTAAAGCTGATGACAGTTCTGTCTCCATTACTTCTTTATCTGCATGGACACTTGTTTTTGACGCGAGTTTTCATCTGCATAAAGATTCACTAGCTGGGCCAACGTCCTCATTTTAGGTTTGACAGCGTTTTAGTAGGTAAAGGTGATGCTTGGACATGAATTGAGCTGCGGTTTGGGGAAGGCCTCGAAGGGGACTGCCGATGGCTCCCGGGCCTGGCAGATCTCCATGTACTAAATAGAAGTGAAGAAGTTAAGAATCGAAAACAAGGAGGGAGGGAGGGTGGGGCACGTAAACGAGAATGAACAGCTTGCAGAACTGGGGGAACCCATAGAGATGACAACCAGAAGGAGCCTGTTTGGAGGCGTGGTCCCGCTCCTGAAATTTTGATACATGATCTCCAATTAAAAGAAGATACACACAAAATGCTCATAATAACACTACTAGTGGTTAAAAACCTTTTACTGTGAGTCTTTAAGTGAAATATTCTTATAACTTTCTTTCATCCATTTTGTCCTAAGGATGTTCTTGGTCTTTAACTTTAATGTGACATTTCTTTCCATTACATTTACCTTCTTCAGGTGGTGGCTGGACTGACCCAGAATTGGCTGACTTTGAGTTGCTGGTGATCATGAGCGCCACCGTGGAGCCAACCTCCGCCACCTGTCAGGTTCGCACCTCCTACCTGCCAGATGAGATCCTCTGGGGCTACGAGTTTCCCCCTGTAGTTTCCCTGTCTCCCTCAGGGAAATATGTAGCAGACTTTGCCTTCTTCGACAAAGTGGCCAAGACCAAGACCGCCCCCATTTTTAAGCCATCCAGCCCCCAGCACGGGTATCAGAGCAATGGAGGGGGGACTGTACCTGAGGTGACTGATCCAGAGAAGATTCGTCTGGAGCAGAGCTACAGGGAACAACGAGGAGAGGACCGAGGTCGGGTCAGGGACGCTCCTCTGAGTGTTCGCATCAGCAACGTGTGAAGAGTTTGTTTAAACCAGAAGGTTTAAAAAGCAACAGGAGACGTCGCCAAGTTCAGTGTAAATAACAAATCAGTGAAACATCATATCGATGAACAGAACAGATTAATGCTGACTACTGTATGAACATGTGGAGTATGTTATTGTCATATGCTTGCTGGGTATGACATATATAGATACACTCACTTCACTGTATTCATATGAAGGAATAACGTCATAACTACAGTTCTTTACATCTGATCACGGCACAAATCCATTGACCTCACATACACTACATACAGTTTTAACTCAAAAAACTACAATACAAATGATACAAAAATCAAGTAAAGAAGATGGAAATCTCAGTGAGCACTAACCAAGTTACAAAAAGGTGTGAGACAGTGGTGTTTAATTTTCATTTTTTCAAAAGTAGAGCAGAATAAAGAGTGGGTTTGGAGACGTTATTATGACGAAGTGAGATGGAAACACCCGCCCACTTAAGTAGAAGCACTGAACCGTGTATAATACGCCTAAAATGTATGCAAATGTGTGATAAATATACATACCCTGTAAACATGTATGTACAAAGGTCATATGACTCTGAGTTTTTGCAGTAAAACACATCAGCTGTAAAAGCAGTTTTTCTGCCTCTTGCAACCCCCCACACCCCAATTTCCTCTAAATGAGCAACGTATTTTTTGTATTTCCTGGTAAAAACCCAAACATGTACTGTAATAGTTCAATTAAATGTAGCACTACAACTGAAAAGTAGACAAAGATGATACATTTTATGTTCAGTATGACCTGTATGTTGGTAATGGTGTTTGTATTTCATGATTTCTGTCATGCGTGACTGCTGTTGCTGCTTCAGAACATAGCACTTTATGTATGTGATGTAAATTTGCACCTTGAAAGGTTAAGGCAAATGTGTGTTAAATTTTGAGTCTACTAAAAGCACTCAAACACTGAAAATTGTTAGTGTTAAAAACAGATGCTTAATTATTTAACAAATCAAACTGTTATGTCTCTCTAGCTTTAATAATGCTAATGTGTCCAGATATGCACAAACATTAAAGGAACTTGCCTTTATGAGAAAACTTGTAGCCTACTGTTCACTGAACACTTCCATGATAACTTTCTTGAATCCCCATATTTTATTTTAGTGTAGAAATCACAGACAAAAAGTGGAACAGTAGGATGAATACATCACAGGTGAGTACTGAAATGTGAGAATGTGGAATTGTAATAGTTAGAAATGAAGTGATCCATAGGCTTAATGGATCTGAATAGGATGAAAAATATGTTTTATAATATTTTATTCACAGCCTGTTGTGAGTCTGCCAACTATGTGTTTAGATATGACATATATGCTCTTATTTTAATTAGTTTATTAGTCCATATACAGGCAATAATAAATCGCATTTCTGGCATCTGATGTACGTAACTAAAATGATTTAAAACTAAAGAGAAGCTAACAGGAAACAGGTTTGTCAAAGCGTTATGCTACTTCCTTGATTGCTCAGTTGAGAGAATCATGACTCGTGGTGTAGTCCTGTTTGCTTTTTCTTTGCTCTACATAATAGAAGTACAAGGTAAGAACTTGCTCTTTTTTTCACAGCTAATGCATTGTTATTTTTAAAGACCTTTTAGCAATACAAATCAAATGACAAAAATGCTGTTTTCAGTAATGCCTTTATTTTAGTCATGACGCTGATAAAATGTAATATTATGCAGTTAAATGCAGTTTTTACTGAGATGTTCATTTAGTAGTGTGAGTATCTGCTCACATTAGTCATGGGGCATTGGGGGGCAATAACATATCAATACCGCTTTACAAGGATAATCTACTCAGTATTAACATTGCTTTGAAAGGGTACAATGATCAAAATGTGGTATGTACTTTAAAATAGGACGAAGCAACACAAAAGAATCATAACTCTGTAGGTTATAGATACATAAAATACTATAAATATAAAATAATGACAAAAGTAAAATTAAAATAATCTTTTCTGTTTCATATCAGTATCTGTATGTCTGTATGTTGTGCATATTATATGTATATTATATTTATCTGTGTGTCAAATGAATTTCTTCTGCTGCACAGCAAAAACCCAATGAGGAAACCAGAGTTGGAAATACTTTTTTTTCCTTCTGCACATTTCGGTATTTCCTTTGTACTGTTTGAAAAAAATCCATCCATTCATTCGATTCCGCGTATCCTGTTCAGGGTCGCGGAGGGCGCTGGAGCTTATCCCAGCTGTCATAGGGCGAAAGGCGGGGTGTCGCAGGGCTAACACATAGAGGCACTCATGGGCAATTGAGATTAACCAATTACCCTATCCCCACTAACTGCATGTCATTGGACTGTGGGAGGAAGCCTGAGTACACGGGAAGAACGTGCAAACTCCCCAGCCTGATGGTGGAATTGAACTCAGGACCTTCTTGCTGTGCGGCAACAGTGCTAACCACCGTGCTGCCCTGTTTGAAAAAAGATTTAGAATTATTAGAGTGGAGTCAGCCCTACGTTTGCTGCCATGACTGTTAGAAGATGGTCTTTTTATTTTTATGCCACCAACTTATAACCAGTCAGACAGGCACAGTAATAATATCTTCATTAATACACAGCAGGCTCATTAGCTGACGCTAAATAATTTTTTGTGCTACACAGGTCAGCTTGTTAGGTTTCTATGGTGGCTTAGTTTGTAATAATGCTGCTCTACTCAGGACAAATACTGAGCTCCACCAGAGTCTTAGTGCTCAGTGCTAAGAAGGGTTTACCTTTCATTTTAAAAACATAATGATTCTATGTTGATCTGAATTACTGCACTGTTTTCAGAGAGAGCGCTCTCCCTCATGCATCCTTATTGGGTCTGCTGGAGTTTTATTCAGTAACTTTTGTCTCAATCTTCTCTTGATCCATCACTTCTCTCAGCTAACCTGAAGCAAAAATGCATTTAAAATGATGCAAACTGAATTATACAGAGCCTTAAATACACTTTGATAATTTATTGTTTATCATAATCTCATTTTAAAGATCTTACATAAAAGTGCAAGAAAACAACTGGACAAAAACCAGATTTTATTACCGCAGTGTTAATTTAACATTTTTTATTAAAAATTCATAGCATTTAGCAAGTTATGGAATTAAACTGAATTAGAGTTATAGTTATGATTGAATAATCTGTGTACTTTGTGTTACCGTCCAATCATTTGTTTTCATGAATGCTCAGCTGGTCTGTCATTATCAACTATGTGACGGCATTTTCTCCTCTTATTTCATAAAGGATAATAGACTGATATATTAAATATTCCTTTATTGGGTGAGAAAATCAGACCATGTCATAACTGCTTTAAGTCATACAGAATAGATATCAGAGCCTTAAACAGGCTGACTTCTGCTAAATGGGTCAAACTGGGCAGAAAGTATACAAACACATAACATCCTTATAGAATATGATGTAACACTATAGATCAACTTACCTCAGAATATATAAAGCATTTAAACAGTTACAGCGATATGATGCAACAAACACAGCAGTGCTACTGATCCAAAATACTCAAAGCTTCATAGAACTGGAACAAACATTTATTTTAGGTCCATTCTGCTGCTGATACATACTTTAGGTTTCTGAATATTAAACTTGTTTCTGCCTTTCATAGTGTGTAACTTGAAGGCCCTGAGTACTTTCTCCCACACTGAAAACACTGGAATGATCAAATTATTTGAACATTACCCAATAAGACTGATTCAAGACAGACAGTTAGTTATTTTAAACTTTTCTAGCAGTCCTTCACAAACAGGGAACAGTCTGTCTATTCTCTCCATCTGTCAGCTGCTGCTGGCTCATCCTCCTCCTCTTCCTCACACACTGCTGAGTTTGTCCTGTTGGATCATCAGGGGTGCAAAACCTCACAGATGATGTGCAGCAGTGGGTCCCTCAGTCTGTCCTCACTCTGGACACTTGCAGTTGTCACACATGGAAATCAAATGTGTGATAAGCTGCAGGATAAAAACACAAGTGTAACTTATAAACACATGTTCATACTTTTATTCCACAATCAGAGAGAAAGAAACAGAGAGAGAGTGCAGGACAGACAGACAGGTGACAGTCTCAGGTGTGTACACTGCTACAAAACAGCACAAGAGAAGGAGGATTTAGTGTTTGTGTTATTACGAGTGCTAAACAAGAAGAGTTCCCAGATGGTACAGTGGACACATGTGTGACTCCTGTGATTAAAGCATCTTTCTTTCAGCTTAACGAGTGAACCGTCAACTCGTTCAAACACATGTTAAAGTCCATTTGGCTCGACACCACCGAACAGAGGCAGCAATATAACATAGCTAACATTAACAGTGCAGTGAATCCTGCTTGTGCCGTGATATTCAGGACTGCAAACTGAGCAGCATCACTGACTTTCAGCTTGTTGTGTTTGTGGATATATGACTGACTTTAATTATCCATAAAATCATCAGATTCTCTGTAAGATTAAGGTCGACTATATATATATGTAGAGGCTTTAAAACCAAGTTAACGCTGAAAGTACAAACATCACTAATGTCACACAGCTTTGCCGACATGTGGCCAACAGCAATGTTTTAATGTTCTTCGTTATTAAACATTCGCACATAAATAAGTTACATAATATTCAGTACTTACTTTTGACAGTTCACTCTTCGGCCGCTCCCTTCTGCCGTATTTTGCGGCAAAATTATCCACACCCACCGCTGCGCTATGAATTGTGGGATATATGGGACCACGAAGCGTGCACCGGACCACGCTTGATATTTGGGGAAAATCGCATTTGGAGTATGCATTTGAAGTACACTTCGAATTGGGACAGCCATCGTCGCGTGGTGGTGACGTCATCGCACTTAAAATGCGTACTTCAAGCATGCAGACCCTGAATTGGGACACAGCCTAAGACAATACATGCTCACACAGGATAACAAGGGAAAAGGCAACAGGTGGACAGATAACTGAAACAAATCAGAGATAATTAGACACAGGAAGTAGAACTGAATACAAAATAAAAGCGACAAGAGGTTACCAAAGTAAAGCTGGAAATAACTAACAGTGACCTGGACACTGAACTTGACACAGAAGGCAAAACATGTAGACACAAGAGAATTAACATCATCTAACTAGAAGCACCAAGAAACAATATCATACTCAAAGTTCAAACATAAATCACACATTAAAAACCAAAAGAATATAGCTTGATTCCAGAAAAACTTAAAAACCCTGAGATCATGGCAGAACATCAGAATAGTGGGCATGCAACTGCAATTCTCCTAAATCAAATTCAAATTCTATTTTTAGAGATATGAATGAATGTATCAAACCACCTAAAACACATCTATCCAGGATTGAGACCAGGAAGCAGAGAGGCAGTCTTGCATATCTCTCAGCTGCTTTTGTCCTTGTGAAATGCCCACCAAGACCCCATCCCCACAGAGACCATCTTCTCACAGACCACAGAAGATAAACAAAAAATCAATTACCCTTAAAATTTATAAATAAAAATTATTGAAAATTATTTCAGTTGCACCAAAGAGGAAAAATGCAGACCCAGCTAGCAAAACGAATTCAGTTATCTTATTAATGGTGCTGTGGCTGTTTCTATCACATTTAACTAGAGACTGAATTTTATGTAATTTTATTTTATTTTGTATTCTATACAAAACTTAACACAAGTATAAAAAAAAGAGTGTTTTTCACTTTTTTTTTTCGAACCACGAAACTGTTTAGCCATGTGTCGTGCCAAGGTAGGTATCCCTGACAGAATTTGTCAGGGCTCTCCAAATCACGGACCAACAGTTTCCTACATTCTTGATTTTTAGTTCACAAACACTTCTTATAACGACTAACTACTCCTGAAACTTTGGAGGCTTTAGCTTTTTATACAGTAAAGTTACAGGAGGATAAAAATAATTATCAGGAAAAATGTCCTTGATTTGTTAAGATAATCCTGTCCGATACCACGTGAGAACAATAAATATATAATTTTTTTTAACCCTTAAACTGACTGGTAATGTAACGACACTCATTTTTCACTTTTTCACAAAACTAAAACATGACTGCTTCCACATCTAATTGTCTGTAATGGAGGCGGTGTAAACTGGATCTGCACTCCGTGCCCAGTGAATGCTCGCGACGCAGGGGGAACCTGGTAGGATACCTACCTTGGCACAACACCTGGTTTGGCAGCACAGAGTGAGGCTCCAAATGCTTTCAGTGTGATCTCCAGACCTCTGACAGGTCTTGCATACAACAGCCACTCTACCACGTGACGCATACTGCTCCGGCGTGCTAAGGTCACTACCTAGGTTACAACATGTGGCAAGTTTTGCTTTTGTGATATTTAATGGATTGGATTACATTTTATTTTTTCCCAATATCTGATCCAGTAATTTAGGTCAGTATCGGACCGATATCAATACTGTATATCGGATCCATCCCTAATATGTTCTTTCTGAAGAGGTATAGATTTACCCAAGAAGTTGATTCTGTTTTTTTGGATATAGAGCTTTCAGTGCTAGAAACATTTTTCCATTCAGCCAAGTGACTGCTTCTGTCTTGGATGAGTGATGAAATGTTTTTCCCTTTACATGGATGTCTGCCACACAGCCAGCACTGACGTGTTTTTTGTCTTTCTGTTCTTTTAGGGCTCCAACATGTGTTTGCGCTGCATGGAAAGGACTTACACTTGGATGTAAAGGAACCATTTAAACTTGTAAAACAGACAGATTTTTTTTCCTGGAAATTTAATTCCAATGCAAATATTGTAAAACATGTTTTAAATAGTGAACCAGACGTGTCTGACAATTATAAAGGAAGGGTTGAGTCGTTTGGACCAAGTTACTCTTTGCTATTAAAGAATGTACAACACAGTGACAGTGGAGATTATACTGCAGTTGTGTCTGTGCAAAGCGACAAAAAGGTTGCTGAATACAAGGTCATAGTCCAAGGTAGGTTTCTCTTCTAATTGTTTAGAAATGTTCACACATCATAGACCTGTTTTTAATGCTTTCACATCTCTTGGTTCTCAGATCCAGTGACTCCTGCTGAGCTGACAGTGCACCTTGTGTCCAACAACTCAGACTCCTGTAACCTGACTGTAACCTGCAGCACAGTGGACTTTAACATTAGCAGTAGTTTTAGGTGTGATGCCCAACACTGCTCTCATGCAGACAAAAATAATTTGAATACCACAGGAAATGTCTCCTCTCTAAAAGTTTACCTGCATCAAGACACCATTTTCTGTAATCACAGCAACCAAGTGAGCTGGAATCAGACCATGAAGGTGCTCAAATCTTACTGTGACATAAAGACAGGTGAGAAAATATTGAGAAATTATTAATGAATGAAACACTGAAATAACCACTTTTTAAAAGCCTTGCTTTGTGGTGTTTGCGTGTTCTCCCCATTTCTGACTATATACCTTTGGATTTTGTAGCTCCCATAATCCAATCCAATGAAACGTACTTGGTGGCATTGACTCAAATGATGATTGTGAATAGTTGTCAAAAAAACCCAAACCTGTATTTCATTTTTAAAGAACGTGTGTAAGCAAACTGTCACATGCAATACTGCAATACTGTTGTGATCAGTAAAATATTTGTTGCCGTAATAAATCGTGGGG